CGTGCCATCGCTCCCTTAGTTATATTCTTTACCATTTTTTTCCACGTGACACTGAAATGTGCTTTACTTACTAGGCCGTTGTCTCCCTCACAGCATGTGCGTCTCAGGAGGGTGGGGGCTCCTCCCTTGCTCAGGGCAGCACCCCCATCCCACAAAGTGCCCAGGGACTGTCCCTCACTCAGGACAGTGTCCTTGTTCCACGAAAGAGCCTGGCCTGCAGGGGGCACTCCCTGTTTCCTGAATGAATGAGGGCACGAATGGCAGGACGGGCAGGTGGACTCATGTTTCCATAACTTTGCCTTTCAGCCGTGACAACCACGAGTGGAAGAAGCTGATTATGGTCCACCACTGGCCGGCGACCGTGTGCAAGGTGAGTGTTCGCTCTGCCTCCGTGGCCCCCCGAGCCAGGGAAGCCCTGAGCGAGGGTGCTCTGTGCGATGTTTCCTCCCTGGGGCCTCGGGCCGCTGCTCGCAGAGCTGGGCCTTCCCTGCAGGACACTTCCCCCAGGAGGCCCCGTGACAGGCTCCCAGGGGCGTCACACTGCACCACAGCCTGGCTGGCTCAGAACTCCAGAAATTTGTTCCTATTTCACTGATGTATTTGAACTTGGTACCTGAACAAACGTGAGGCTAGTGGGATATCATCGGTTATATGATAGGAAAATTGTTCATAGGCAAATAGGAGTGTTTCCATCAGGTCGACTTAATTTTTGAGCACACAAAGAGCAAAAATGGGTTTTTAATTCTGTCATTTAGATTGAAGATTGGTCCACTCATTGCTAATACTACATCCAGCCCCCTGGAGTTTCCTCACAAATATATTGCTGGAGTGAATTTATTGCAAATTAACACAGAACTTATTTTGTGTGAGTCCTGTCATTGATGGGTGTCAGAGAGGAAGGCTACATGTATGTAAGTAAGCAGTGAACCAGTTATTTTCTGTGTGTCTTATTTCCCAGGAAGTTGAAAATGACTGTAGAGAGCCCCCGGATTACTGGACAATCCACGGATTATGGCAAGTACTCTGCAGAGAAACCCAGGCAGTCCAGGCAGCTGGCTCATCGAGACCCCAGCTGGAGCCTGGTCCTAACAGTCACACTTGAGGTTTTGTTAGGAGTTTATTCTGATAGACCCTACAGTTTTATTCAATAGACAAGGTCCACATTTAAAAGTATCTGTAATGTTTCTAACAACCCTAGTTCTGTTGTTGAATTCCGTTTTGATAGAATGTTAACAGTCTAGTCTACATATGCATTTAAGGATTCTGGGTGTATTTTAGGATGACTAAGTTTTAATTTTCTCATTTCTTTGGGGGCAATAAGTAGTATAAATAGACTATCTAATCTGTGTTATAGACACGTCACAGACACCCAGATTTTCTGGTTTTGCCCGCATTTTGTTGAGTTTATCTTTTGCTACCTGTGTGTGTATTCGTGGTGCTACGTTGCACACATTAATTGGCCCTGTGAACTGATCTGTCTTCTCCTGGTGCTCAGATGAGAGGAGGGCCCTCCCGGTTTTAGCTGGCACCGGTGTTCCTCAGGAGCAGGGGTCAGCAGAAAGCAGATTAAACCGGGGTCTGGGGACCTGGCCTCTAGTCCACCTGCCCCCAGGCTTGTCGGGGACCTGGGTGCTGGGACCCTGGCTTTCCGCTGCCTCTGCCACCTCACCTGTGAGCAGGGAAGACAGGGCATGGTGAAGCCCCCGTCCCCGTGGCAGGTGGCGCTGGTTTCAGGTCAGGAATAGTTGTTGAGGCTGGAAACACGACGGGGGTCTAGAGAGTAGATTTTGGTGGCCTTGTGGACTGAGATGACATGTGAGGACAGAATTCCCTGCAGACGGAGGGAGGGCGACGGGGCTTGGTGTTGTAAAAGATCATCCCAGCTCATTACCAGGCACTGAGCCCGTAGGTACATTGTCTCCTGCTCCCCATCTCCACTTAAAGGAATAGGCCTGCTGGCCTCGCCTGTGGTCGTGGAGTGGGGTTTGCAGAGGGCGGATCCCTGGGGCCCAGCTGGAGACCCTGGGGACCTGACTGGGAGCGTCCCCTGCTGGGCCTCTATTAGGCTTCCTCTGCTGTTTCATCAGGCCTGGGCCTTTCCCCACAACCTCTTTCCTCTGAAACTGGGGCTGGGACAGCTGTGTGGAACCGAGCCTCTCTGTTAAACGACCCAATGGCTGTACCGTCCCTGAGCCCCTCTGTTAAATGACCGCCCGGCCTGCGGCATTCCCACGTGGAACCCCTTGGTCCTCTGCAGACCACGTGTTTTCTCGTGTCCTTGGGAACCCATCCCAACCAACACTAACATCTCTTTTAATTTTCTTATTCGAGGGCTGACAAAGCAGAACAGTGTAATCGATCGTGGCCCTTTCATCCAGAGGAGATTAAGGTATTTTGATTCTGGTGCTACTGCAGGGTGCTGCCCTGGGTTGCATCTTTTCTTAACGAGCGTGCCCTCAGAGTCGAGTTTTAAAGTGAGGGTCCTGACTGCATTCACCAGGACCGACCCCTTGGCACCCGGTATAAATGAGTATCTAAGGCAGTCCCACAAGTTCAATAAGAACGCACCTCTTCCTCCTTGGCCCAACCCCCTGGGAACGAAATAAGCCCAGAATTATAACCACGCCCACCTGAGTGTGATTAATGAGCAGCGCTCCGTCTTTCCTTGCACTCGTTTCTCTGAATTCTCTGTTTATTATACGTAGGATCTATTGCAAGAAATGAAGATGTACTGGCCCGACGTGATCCACCCCTCTCCTAATCGCACCTCTTTCTGGTGAGTTCTGAGCCATCATGAACCCTGAGACACGGGTGAGAGCCCCTCGAGCGTGTGCTCAGGGGAACTGTGGGAAACACAGATGACAGATGACAGAACCCTTCCTCTGAGCTGAGAGGTTTGAGCAACCTCCAATCTGGAACAAACTCACCTGTTAGGCCATTCTTGGTGCCTCCCTCTCCCCAGTGCATAGAAAGTGAGGGCAAGTGAAATTTACTTTATAAACCTGTTTTTAATCTAGTATTTCATTCATTACTTTGTTTTAAAACTTTTCTCTACTGAGGTTTAAATAACTTGCCTATCTTAGGAGCTGTCCCTCCAGATCAGCTCTGTGAGAGAGTAGTTCTCACAGAGGTTGTGCTGGTGTCTTGAAATATATCCAGAAAAAAGAAGACACAGTTCAGAAGATGAGGATTGCCCTAGGGAGGAGAGAAAGGGAGGTTTTCACTGCAGGCTCAGTCCTCGGGCTGTCCCATTAAAACACCTTTCAATTTAGCAAGAGCTGAGCCGAGAAGAAAAATGCTGGGTTTCATGAAAATCATTGCTTTTGAAGAAGATAAAATTAATATTCTTTTTAATTATCTTCAGTTAATAAAAAATATTTTCTCCATCTCACTCCCATATGTCAATTTATAACTCAGATTACAACTGATCAGATTTTGTCCAAAAATGTTCATTTAACCTGAAATATGTCTATTTAGAATTTTCAGGAAAAGAGTTAAGGTTAGAGAGAAACTTTTGAAAATGAAACGGAATGACAATGGTGTCCGTGGTCCTGGTCACTGGTGTTCGGTGTGAGATTTCATTCGGGAGCCGTGGCAGGGAAGTGGTTGAGGGTGGATCCTGGGGCTGTGGGTTGAAATCTTGGGCGCTGAGTGGTTCAGGTCTCCAGGACAGGTTCTGTGCAGCCAGCATTCCGGACAATAGTTTCACATGGATAGTGAAATAACTAGAACAGGAAAAACGATGAAACGTTCGCACAGCACTTCGGGGTGTGGTAACTAAGTACACAGAGTGGAATATTTCCAGCTGTTATAATGTTTCACCGGAGAGTCAGTCAGATTTTTGCCACATGGCTTAAAAATAAATCAATAAACATACAAAGACTGTCTCCTGGGGGCTCAGTCCTTGAAGAGTTAATCAAAATAGTGTGGGCCAAGTAGGCACTTAGTTTTGTGCTCAATAAAGGCAAAGTGATTACCTTTTTCAGGTTGGACAGTTAAATTGCACACTTAAAACCTTTTTGTTCTAAATGACAAAGGTAAATACCATACACTAACGAGTATTTATGCTCTCCAGAGCCCGTCGGCACAAAAGGACAGGTGTGGAGACTGGGGATGTGGCACTGTCATCACCGTCTCCCCGATCACCGCACCTGGGCCCTGATTGCCCAGTTGCCTTTACTGCGGGAGATGCTGAGGTGTCCTTCCC